GTCAACCCGAGAACGATATTAACAGAGACACATTGACGTTATATGTCAAAGTTAATGAAATTGCAACTTGTTACTTATTTTTCCGCACATAACCAGCCAAAGCCAATCATTAATTATAAGGACTTTGTGATTATAGCAGAACTTCTATTAGATTTATTTCGTTACAAGTACAATTAATAAATCAATCAGTCGGGATATTTTGTGAAAAGTATTGGAGCTTTAGCGGTAGGCAGCGGCTTCAGCGGTAGGCAGCGGCTTGGCTCTGCCCCTGGCATTGCTGAAGTCCATGGGCGACGGTAACCACTCACCATTAGGTGGGCCATATGCTCGTCTGCCTACAAGGGCAATAAAAAAAAAAGCTTTCTATAACAAATTAGTTGCCAGGTCTGGCATCTTCCTATTCCTATTTCCTTTCCCAGTCCCTAGTACCTTGCTGATAATGAGAAGGTGAATCTCTGTCATAACTTTGCTGAATGTGAGTTTGTATCTCCATCTTCTTCTTTCCCGCGCTGTTATATTAAAAAAACACCCCAAAATTAAAATACCCTATAATATTTTCAGTTCTTTGTATGGAAAGCCATGAATACAGCGCAGACCTCATCCCGGATTCCATCGGCTCTGAATGGAGCTTAACAAGGCGTCTGAACGAATTCAAAAGACCTCCTATAATATTCATGGAGATTTTATGAAAGGTAACAACGGTCTGCCTAGCTTAGTAGTTTTGCAAACCGATGGTCTCAATGCGCTGTGGATATTTCGAGGGAGCTAAGCAGATAATACACTTTCAGTCATCATAAGAGAGCAGACATGCTTCCAAGTAACCTGGTGTGAAGTGTCTTAAGTGTGTGGGCCATGACACAACATGACATGACATGACATTCAAAAGAGGCTTGTGGAGAGTATTAAGCTTTAGGCAACGGCTTGGCTCTGCCCCTGGCATTGCTGAAGTCCATGGGCGACGGTAACCACTCACCATCAGGTGGGCCGTATGCTCGTCTGCCTACAAGGGCAATAAAAAAAAACACTGCGGTTAACTGAAATCTAGGGCCGTTTTTTTATAAATATTACTTAGGTAACAGACACAATTGAAAACCGCCATCTATCTTGGGACATGAGGTTTTAAACTCTCAATCTTATTGTTACGCGGGTAAGAGTAATGTCATCTGTCGTCGAATAGTTATCTTAGTAACAGAAATCGAGATAATTACTTCAGTGCGCCGCGTAGGACACCGGTGACCTACACTGCAGTCAAAGAGTAAATGTACGGACAGCTGGTAAGCGGATAGCTGGTAACCGGACCAAAATACCGTGGTACAGTAGTCAAAGTAACTTAATCCTTCTGTTTCTATCACCAAGTTTTATCCTCCGGTATGAAGAGGAAGAGGAGAAGGACCCTAAACTCAACCACGTTGCAGCTATTATTTATAATATACTAACTGACCCGGCAGACTTCGTGGTGCCTCAATCGATAAATAAAAGACGTCTAAGTTTTTGTATAAAATAAACTTAAAACAAACAAAAGGAATCCGTCCGACGGGGGACACATTAAAGGAAAAACAAAATTGTTATTTTTATTTGATTCCGAGCATTTTCATATTTATCTACCTTTTATACCTTCTCTGGACTTCCACAAATAATTCAAGACCAAAATTAGCCAAATCGGTCCAGCCGTTCTCGAGTTTTAGCGAGACTAACGAACAGCAGTTCATTTTTATATATACTTATATAGATAGATATAGATTTGACAACAAAGAGTAGTTATCTATATATTAATACGTGAAGCAAAAACTTTGTATCCCTTTTTATTAATATTTTTCTATAGTGTAATCTTGGCGAAATTTGTGATTATAGGAGTATAATAATCTTTGAAAATAGAATCATAATTAGACAAAATAAAATCCCGCCAAAACGTCCGTGAGTCCGTTTCGATTAAGCTTATAACTTCAAATAACTGTACTGTAGTACTATACTGTAAGTAACTATACTGAGACCTTAGAACTTATATCTCAAGGTGGGTGGCGCATTTACGTTGTAGATGTCTATGGGCTCCAGTAACCACTTAACACCAGGTGGGCTGTGAGCTCGTTCACACATCTTAGCAATAAAAAAAAAATAATAATAATAGTTATAGTCGAATTTCGACTGCCGGGCGACCACTAGTATTAATATAAACTAGAGGTCCCGCAGTAGTCGAAATTCGACTAAAATTAATTGGAATTGTAAGTTTGTACACAATTATGATTGTATTTTATACTTCTATAATCATAAATTTCGCCAAGACTACACTATAAACAATATTAACAAAGACAAACAATATTTAATCTATTCTCAATTTGACAACGACGTCAAGAACAAAAGTTTAACAATAAATACCTATAGTATGCATGCGTGTGTACGTCAAATACATGGTATGTTGTGTGTGTAATGTTTTCTTTATTGATTTAATGTATCTTTTATGCATTTTTTTTTTTAAATATTAGCATTGTACACTTCTTCTCTATATTCTCTATAAGTGTGAGAAATTTCATACTCCTCCGTCCGCGCAATTTTCGTAAAAAGGGATACAAAGTTTTTGCTTCACTTATTAATATATAGATAGGACAATCGTAAATAAATCACCAAACAATCGAGCGAAACCAAAGCCAATTTAAACTAAATCAGTCATAAAACCCAACCTCCACTGTCATCACAACCCATTAAATAATTTAATAATGACTATAAACATGATTCAAAATGAGTCGACTGCATTTTCAATTAACGCAGAGCCCGTAGCCACTCCGTCAACGCCGCTAATTGAATTGTCAATGAATTGACAGCGATGCGGTCTCCTAATGACTTCCTACGTACCTATATGTATTGTTGTATTGTTCTCAAATAAATTGCAATAATTTCTGTATAAAATGCAATTACTTTATTCGGTTCAATTAAAACTTACTTACGTATATGTATGTGAAGAAAAACCTTTAAAACTTTTTAGTTTCAAAAAAATGTTTTCCTAGAATCATTCATTCACCTGTCTGTCATTCCATTTTTTTTTATTGCTTAGATGGGTGGACGAGTTCACAGCCCACCTGGTGTTAAGTGGTTATTAAAGCACATAGACATCTACAACGTAAATGCGCCACTTACCTTGAGATATAAGTTCTAAGGTCTCAGTATAGTTACAACGTCTGCCCCACCCTTCAAACCGAAACGCATTTCTGCTTCACTGCAGAAATAGGCGGGGTGGTGGTGCCTACCCGTGCGGACTCACAAGAGGTCCTACCACCAGTAAAATAGTAAAATGAAGATAGTGGTTCAGTTTTGCATACCTAGTATAATAAGACTGTTATTAAAATATTAATTTAAAAAGAGTTTCAAGGCTTTAAATGTTGTTTTCCTATTAAATTACAGAAAACGCAATTAAGTATTTTATTGGCCATTCATTCTGGAGCATTTGATACCTCCTCCTCCTTGAGTCGCATCCCTCATGTCTGAGGGTCGTGACCATCTCCTCCCATTATCCTTCTTTGGATGATGTTTCGCCATCTTCCTCTATTCTCGGTGGTGTGTATGGCGTCGTAAAAAGTGTATATAATATAGGGTAAAATTATGAGATGTTAGCAAATTGTTGATTGTGGAAGCAGATAAGATGCCAACTGGACTATCAAAGAGTTTGGGTTTGGCCTCAGCTGCAGTATCTGTATAATTGACTCTACAGCGGTTAGCTGATGCTGTAACTAAGTTCGTGGTTCTGGAATCCTGTCTGACAACAACAATGTTTCAGGCCAGAACATGCCAAATTAGTTTATGAATTGTAGATTGGGTTAGTTTGGGAAACGTTTACTGGTGGTAGGACCTCTTGTGAGTCCGCACGGGTAGGCATTCCACACTTATAGAGAATATAGAGAAGAAGTGCACAATGCTAATATTTTTTTTAAATAATGCATAAAAGATACATTAAATCGATAAAGAAAACATTACACTAAATACACACACTACATACTATGTATTTAACGTACACACGCATGCATACTATTTATTTATAGTCAAACGTTTATCCTTGACGTCTGTGGTCAAATTGAGAATAGATTAAATATAGTTTGTCTTTATTAATATTTTTTATAGTGTAGTCTTGGCGAAATTTGTGATTATAGAAGTATAAAATACAATCATAATAGTGTACAAACTCACAATTCCAATTAATTATAGTCGAATTTCGACTACTGCGGGACCTCTAGTCTTAATAATTTTCCCACGGCTAAAATTTCAAGTTTTAGGTCCAGCGACTTTTCGTATTCGCTGTTCGGAAAAGTAATTATATATTAATAGTGGCCCGTCCATGATGACAGTCAAATAGATTCGTCCAATGAATGTTTAATTGACACGATTTCTCGAATTCTCTGCGGAAATTTCTAATTCGCAGGCCTTGACCTTTGGCATTGCATTGATGAATCAATCAATATGATAGAACAAAAATAATCATATGTGTTTATTATTAAACAAGCGGACCGCTCCGGCTCCGTTCGGGTCTTTAACAAAAATTTCAACGATTTTTGACGTTGTTTTATTTTTTTAAATAAAATAACACTTATTCTAGCATAACTATAATAGTTAGACATTTGCTGTCGCGACACTTTTTGTAAATAATAATGTGTTCTCCAAAGTCGTAGTACAATATTTTATTCTATCATCAATAGTTTTCGCAGGGCACGCGATGTAAAGAATATTTTAGGTAATTTTTTTACACCTTTAGTTTAGTTACATTATTGGAGTTTTAGTAAGGATTCCTAATTTTTTTCAAAAAAGGTTATAGCCTGTGTCACTCGGGAATAGTGTAGCTTTCAAACAGTGAAAGAATTTTTCAAATCGGTTCATTAGTTTCAAAGCCTATTCAATACAAACAAACAAACAAATCTTTCCTCTTTACAATATTAGTATAGATTAGTATAGATAAATACAATTTTTGTCTAACACAAATTGATTTCGAGACAATTCTTAAATTAATTTTTCTATTTCAGGAATTGGCCGCCTCTACTCCGACCCAACGCAACTGGCGCGGCATCCTCATAGCACTGCTTGTGATCGCCGCTGTCCTTGGTCTCATCGTCTTCAGTATAGTACTCCTAACGCCGGCAGGAGACGGGGGCAGGATTAAGGGGAAGCGTCCGACCCTACAAGATGTACTGGCTGAGCATTACAAGCCTTTTAATGGAACTTGGTTAACAGGTAAGCAAGCAAAACATCGCAAAGTAATATAAACAAAACGCGGGGTCGCAGACCTCTCGCTATGACCCAATTTTAATTATATAACAGGATTTTTTTTCATTGCCTAAATAGATAAATCTCGTGTTATTATAAATAATTAACGGAGCCCATATATGTATCTACATCACAAAGCCACCACCCACCTTGAGGTTGAAACTTCAATCATATTACGACTGTAAAACCTTTCAAATCACCCTCAGACACAGCCCACTGAGTTTCTCGCCGTATCTTCTCAGTGGGTCGCGTTTCCGATCCGGTGGTAGATTCTGCGAAGCACGGCTCTTGCTAGGGTTCGTGTTAGCAACGTCGTCAGGTTTGAGCCCCTTGAGCTCACCTACTAGTTAAGATTACTAGTGAAATAGCCTCTCAAGGCTATCAGATTAGGTAGGAATTAAAAAAAAAACTTTCAAATCAGAACACATCGCAGCAGGAAAATGTTTTCTTCCAGTGTGCGCACAATTATGCAATTTTTGTTAAAAATTTTGCAGTTTTGATTTTTATTACACAACATGAATTGAATACATGAGTAGATGAAGGGAATATGATAGAATTTGTCATTTTGAGAAAACGGGCAACAATCTTTTGTTACTTCAGCGGTAGGCAGTGGCTTGGCTCTGCCCCTGGCATTGCTAAAGTCCATGGGCGACGGTAACCACTCACCATCAGGTGGGTCGTCTGCCTACAAAGGCAATAAAAAAAAACTTGTACTTTTTCTTCGAACTCCGGCAGCCAGAGAGATCTTACGAGATTCAACTTCATCATGAAACGTACGGAACCCCTAAATTCAATACAGATAATAAATAATATTCTTGTTTTAAGAACTTTTTAAAATGTGAATTATCAATTAGCCTATCAATTTTCAAAGCTCTGATTCTATTTGTTCGAAACAATAGGTATCACTACGAAACTATCCTAAAATTAAACAATTTCCAGTTACTAAACTAAGGACGACGTAAATAGAATTAAACGCACCATTATCAACTTAATTGTACTTAATGGAACTTAAAAGCGAAACCGTCGGTTCATTTTCCAGTCAACGATGACATTTTGTTGACAGCTAAATTAAGAAATCTTAGAGACGCAATGACATGACATTCTGAATACGCTGTTGACGAGAGATTGAGAATTGAATAGCGGCCATTGTTAAGCAAAGCTCACTCACAATGGGGCATGCGTTTTTTTAAGACAGGAGGAATTTATATAAAAATAATCATACGAGGATAGGATTATATTAGAGGATAGGAGGATATTATTTTTTTACTGTTGTTCAGTTTCTGAACGTCAAAACCACATGACACTTTCGTCCGCCATGACACTTTTTCTCTTTCAATACCAACCACCAAGAGCAACGCAACAATTTTATATTCCTCTTATATTAAGTATTTAATTTATCATATAAAGCAGGGGTTCCCAAACTTATTTTGTCTACTGCCCACTTTGAGACTTAATTTTGAGCGCCCCCATTTGTCATCTACTGAAAAACCACTATAGCGATAGGTCAGTTAAGAGTAAGAGTCTTAAATGACATTACAATTCGCCTCTCAAGCCTCTAGACAATGCCCCCATTATTTTTCTGGGTCTCTTACCGCCCCCCTTTAGGCCTGCAGCGCCTACAAGGGGGCGTTATCTCCCACTTTAGGAAAGACTGATATAAAGGTAAAATAAATATCTCAAAACAATAAATACAGTCCACGCTCAATTTCCACAACGCAACAGCTGCAGAAGACGATCTTAGGAATTATTTACCGGAGATATCTAAAGCTAAAGACCGCCACGCTCCTTAAAACATGGGCTCAAAGTCTCAATTGTATTGCGGTGAAAAGCACCGCTCCAGAAATAGGTAGGGTGGTGGTTAGCCCGTATAGACACACCACCAGTTGACACCGGTACCTGCCGGTTGTTTATGGCAGAATGTTCTAATGAGTCGTTCAGTCGCGTTCTATAGCAGGTACAGCAAGAAATGGGGATTAACACAACTTGTTATTTTAAGCTGGAACCGCCAGCCCATCATGCTTTTCTTAACTGAGGTCACAACCTACTCGGTAAATGATGCTACTCGACTGGAAACATAAGGTCGATCAAAATGTGCTCCGTGAGCTCGTTGATATCCAATAGTAAAATACATATTTGGTAGTGAAAACCATGATGATGCTATAACCATAGGCAGATGGTGGGGAGCAGTGATATACCATGAAATCATTGTCTTCCTCAACAGCCCCCAATCGTCGACCAGTAATATGCGTCACTCACAAGGACATACTGGTACCTCAATCTCTAGGACCTGCTGACTGAGAGACCCTGTGGTCGCTACGCCGCGCCTTTAAAGCGTCCGGGGTTTTTAGTCGGTTCAACTCAGACTCTTTTACTGGTGGTAGGACCTCTTGTGAGTCCGCACCACCCGACCAATTTCAGCCGTAAAGTAATGCGTTTCGGTTTGAAGGGTGGGGCAGCCGTCGTAACTATATTTGAGACCTTAGAACTTATATCTCAAGGTGGGTGGCACATTTACGTTATAGATGTCTATGGGCTTCGGTAACCACTTCATACCAGGTGGGCTGTGAGATCGTTCACCCATCTAAGCTTTAAAAAAAAAAAAACGTGCATGCTTTTATATTTTTTGTTGGTTTGCTTTTATTTAATGCGTGTTGAGATTGACTGCTGTTATAGGTAGTTTTCCAATTACAGAGCATAATGCGACTCAGTGAAGCACAATGCCGAATTATGCTGAAGCTTAATTGGAACGTGAATTAGTTTTCAAATGCATCAGCAGAGTGCGCTAAGTTAGCACAGTTTTAATTAACATTGATTATTTCTAAGAAACCACGACGAAACGAAAGCCTTACAATTTTTTTCAACATTAAATAATACTAGAGGTCCCGCAGTAGTCGAAATTCGACTATAATTAATTGGAATTGTAAGTTTGTACACTATTATGATTGTCTTTTATACTTCTATAATCACAAATTTCGCCAAGACTACACTATAAAAAAATATTAATAAAGATAAACAATATTTAATCTATTCTCAATTTGACCACAGACGTCAAGAACAAAAGTTTGACAATAAATAAATAGTATGCATGCGTGTGTGCGTCAAATACATGGTATGTAGTGTGTGTAATGTTTTCTTTATTGATTTAATTATCTTTTATGTATCATTTAAAAAATATATTAGCATTGTGCACTTCTTCTCTATATTCTGTACAAGTGTGGAAAATTTCATACTCCTCCGTCCACGCAATTTTCGTAAAAAGGGATACAAAGTTTTTGCTTTACGTATTAATATATAGATTACTAACGATATATAAACAAAATTTCGATCAATGCCAACTTAAGAAAAAACACTGGTCAATTTTCTGTCACTGAGTCGGTATCGATTGCGAGTATCACGCGAGAGCAGTACTTTGGAGAGTACTCGATTGCGCGAAGCGTTGCTGTAGTTGGAACATTCAACGTTGAGCATTATGCCGCATAATGCGCTCTTGTGCTGTCATTGGAAAACTACCAGAGTTACAGTTGATTTATGTTCTACTGTTTGTGTTAGTAATCACTAAACAAAAAAATAAATACATATATGACTCTCAAAAAAACTATTTTTGAATCTCGTTTGAAAAAACAAAAGTATAAATAATTTTGTAAAGGCGATTTGAGAAGGCTTCTAAGTGATAGGCATTGAGTCAACTGGCATTACTTAAGTACATGAGCGTCGATGAGCATTAATGATCCTTAAATAAGCCTACAAAGACTAGAAAGAAACATAAACAGTCGAAAAAAACGTTCAATATCATTATGTGTCTCTCGTCGTGTTTCGATAAAGCGTATATAAATAATATTGTTATTCTATTGTGGATTGTTTATTTTATATACATAGAACTACCCACAGAGCCTCGAACGAACACAAGACAAATGTTTGTGGTGACAAGGGTGCCTTGCTCAACACTAATCTGATTTTTTTCTGTGTACTTTCAAAATTTATCAGATATTTTATCCAACTACGAAAAATTCAAAGAGGGTTCACCAGTGTTTGCGCATATGAGTCGTCTATAATCAAAGGTGGCAATCTGTGCATTTGGACAAAAAAATGTTATTGATATGTCAATACAGATTGATTTGAATATAATCGTCTCCTTCAAAGAATACGGTTCAAAACCTGCATTAAATAAAGGTTAATACTTAATCTGTTATTTATCTAAGATGTCGTTCAGAAGAGTTTTGTGACTGCCAATGGAATACAAAGTCAATAATTCGTTTTTCTGATTTACCAATAATTGTCCAAAAGTCACATTGCCGGCTTTGATAATAGTCGACTCATATGAAGGACGGATCTGTTCTATTTAATGTTGCCTATGAACAAAGAGTCTCACTGTCCAAGTTTCTTTTTTTTATTGATTAGATGCGTGGACGATCTCACAGCCGACCTGGTGTTAAGTGGTTACTGGAGCCCATAGACATCTACAAAGTAGACATATTGTAGTGAGCGTATTGACCCCCAGTTGCATTTTTTTAGGTATATCTCTCTCTTTTTTATTGCCTTTGCACGCAGACGAGCTTACGGTCCACCTGATGGTAAGCGGTTACCGCCGCTCATTGACGTCAGCAATGCCAGGGGCAGAGCCAAGCCGCTGCCTGCAGACATAATTGTACCGAGAAGCAGTCATGCGCTCCGATTCCAAGAGTGGAAGAGTTATCTCTGTAGACCTGGGAACAGCTTCATAAAAGTTTTACTGGTGGTAGGACCTCTTGTTAGTCCGCGCGGGTAGGTACCACCACCCTATCTATTTCTGCCGTGAAGCAGTAATGCGTTTCGGTCTGAAGGGTAGGGCAGCCGTTGTAACTATACTGAGACCTTAGAACTTATATCTCAAGGTGGGTGGCGCATTTACGTTGTAGATGTCTATGGGCTTCGGTAACCACTTAAGACCAGGTGGGCTGTGAGCTCGTCCAACCATCTAAGAAAAAAAA